CAATTGAAAAGAAATTTAGTATTTTAATTCTAAAAAGTACTACTTAAGGAAACAGACTAATCTGTAGATCAAACCCTAGACTAGTCCTTAGATTAATCCCAAGTCAAGTCAATAGACTAATTCATAGACAAATACATATACTTATCCATAGATTAGTCTACAGATTAGTGAATATAAATAATATTTTTAAAGCTAATCCCAAAACCAGTAAATGGACTTATGTATTTCTAAACCAAATCTCTGATTTTTTCATATACAAAACCCTAAACTTGCCATAGGCTTATCATATTCTAGTCGATAAACTGTCCCATAGGCTAGTCAACAGATTAGTTCATAAACTATGGTCTAAACCTTAGACTGGTCCAAATACCATCGCTTATTCAAGAAGGTAGTCTAGTATTTAGTACTTTTAATCCTAAAAAGTACTATTTTAGGAAACAATTAGTACTATATTAAAATTTAAATTCCGAAGGATCAGTCGATAATTGTATAAAGACCACATATAGGGTCACGAAATCATTTTAGAATCTACAAACATGTTTGAAGCCGGCCTGGGGGGGGGGTAATTACTACATTTTCAATTACATTTATTACATTTGAAGTAATTGTAATTGAAGCTTTACAAATTTCAATTACTTGTAATTGTAATTGAAGTTTTGCCATTTACATTTACTTGTAATTGATTTGTTGCCAATTACAGTTACTTGTAATTGTAATTGAAGAATTTCTAATTACAATTACTTGTAATTCTGAATTTTGTTTGTTATAATTACATGTAATTTGTAATACCTAAATTACAATTACAGGTAATTTTAATTGGAAACTTCAATTACAATTACAAGTAATTGTAATTGCAAAACTACAATTATACAAGTAATTGTAATTGGCAAAACTTTAATTTCAAGTAATTGGTTATTGGTCAATTACACATTACATTTAATTATAATTGGAAATTGTAATTGAATTACGAGTTATTTTAATTGGTTATTGCTCAATCACACATTACATATGATTATAATTGACCATGTAATGAAAAACTTTGTGTAATCATTACCCCCATGCCTGTTCTGAAGTGGTGGATACAGTCGAAAATAACACGTTGATTTGCTTATTAAATGAAACCAATACGATTGCTTGTGCGATCGCCTACAAATTAAGTCTTAATAATACCTCTTAGGGTATTTGAAATTTTTTAAAAATTCCTTCAATATACATACATCTCTAGGTAATTCATTTTGACATAGTCAACCATTAGTGGAATCACTTGGGCATTACAGAATTTAAAAGTTTTTACAAAAGGGCTTCTCTAATTAATTTTACATTAATACCAAAGGTTTTCTTACTTCTAAACGTAAATGTAAAGTAATTAGACATTATTCATAAATCAAATTTTGTCATTTGAAAGAAGAAGCATGAATACAATTAAATCTTTTTAATTTGTTTGGCCAATATCTTTTGAAATACAATGATAAACAAGTACGATTTCATGATTAATGGAAATACAATTATTTTACATGATAATGATGATCTACCATTATCAACTTTGCTGTAAAGGTGACAATGATCTGTTTGAAATTATATAGATAAAAGGGGTAAATGGACTTTAAACATTTCTGAAAAATAAACCTTAATGATTTAACTCAAATTTAAACAATAACAACTTTGTATTCAAACTTTTGAAATTTGTAACAATTTATTGAATTAATCCTCTGTTCAAAAACAATAACAGTGGGCGTAAGATTTACGTAACACTCTTTGGGTTTACATCCGGTTTTTTCAACAATTCTTATTAGAATTACAATAAAATCTAAACAAACAATTCGGAAGATCTTTTACCATCCTTCCGCCTTTCTATTTTGCAAAAAATTTATAAAAAGACCACTTTGAAAAAACTGATATTTCTTTAAAATTATATATTTAACAAAATATTAATAAATGATTATTGTATAAATTGCTGAAGGTAAGGTCAGGGAATATTTAATGGATTTTTGTTTAAAAAACAATACCAGATGAAGACGTTGTTTCTATTAAAAATAAATAAAGTTGATGATAGAGCTCTCAGCATAAATACCAAAAATACAAAAAATTAAATAATTAATTTATTCGTCATTCACCGACAAATTAGCATAACAATCACACTCTACAGCACATACTACAACTATTGAAATTAACCGGTGTTAACAGTTCATGATAATGACAAGCATTATGTTCATAATGATGACGATTATCAACATTATCACGATCTTTTTAATAAGATAAAAAGTATGTCTGTCTTGTCTATGCGATTTTACTCACGTGATGATTTGTTATTTAACATAATATTGTTTTCTTATTTTAAATATTTTAATAAATTTTTGTTTTGTTTTAAATGTTGGAATATTTTTATGTTTTAATTTAAAATTTGAATAATTAAAATAAAATTTAATAATTCACTTGACTTAGAGACGCTATTGTTTTTATAAAGACATGTTTCGTTTTGTTTCATGTGATAGCAGTGGATGATAAAACTTTACATAAATCGTGAAGGGAAAAACCAAACAGTCTGCCCTTAAAATAATATAATTAAAAACCATATATAAAAATTTTTGCAAAATTTGAGAATTATAGCTTTAATAGTATTTCCTATCCATATAAAGCGGTTTAATTGATACTAAATACTAACTGTTTTATTATATTCAAAATTGTTCATATCAAATTTGAGAACTTTAGTTGTTGCAGTTTCTGAGATATGTTAATTTTAATATTAATTTTATAAGTGGGCGTGGCATCTTGCATAAAAAGTAGTCTATAATTCCTTCCCATAGTAAAATGACCTCATTAAATGACAAACGTGGACAAAAAATCTTAAAAAATAGAATGTGAGGTAGTGTTGTAACCGAAATTGGGCCTATCCCTACAAACAACTTTTAATTAGGTACAAAAACTGGGAGAGGGATTAACTGCGGACCCTAATCTTGCTTAGATTTTGTATTAAAAAATTTAAATTTCGTTTAGAGTAAATATCGAAAGTTAGTTAGTTAGTTAGTTAGTTACTTACTTAGTTAGTTAGTTAGTTAGTTAGTCAGTTAGTTAGTTAGTTAGTTAGTTGTTAGTTAGTTAGTTAGTTAGTTAGTCAGTTAGTTAGTTAGTTTAGTTAGTTAGTTAGTTAGTTAGTTAGTAGTTAGTTAGTTAGTTGTTAGTTAGTTAGTTAGTTAGTTAGTTAGTTAGTTAGTTAGTTAGTTGTTAGTTAGTTAGTTAGTTCGTTCTTCGTGTTCGTTCGTTAGTTAGTTCGTTCGTTCGTTCGTTCGTTCGTTCGTTCGTTCGTTCTTTCGTTCGTTTCGTTCGTTCGTTCGTTCGTTCGTTCGTTGTTCGTTCGTTCGTTCGTTCGTTCGTTCGTTCGTTCGTTCGTTCGTTCGTTCGTTCTTCGTTCGTTTCGTTCGTTCGTTTCGTTCGTTCGTTCGTTCGTTCGTTAGTTCGTTCGTTCGTTCGTTCGTTCGTTCGTTTTCGTTCGTTCGTTTGTTCGTTCGTTCGTTCGTTTCGTTTCGTTCGTTCGTTCGTTCGTTCGTTCGTTCGTTTTTGTTCGTTCGTTTTCGTTCGTTCGTTCGTTCGTTCGTTCGTTCGTTCGTTCGTTCGTTTTCGTTCGTTCGTTTCGTTCGTTCGTTCGTTCGTTCGTTCGTTCGTTCGTTCGTTTCGTTCGTTCGTTCGTTCGTTCGTTCGTTCGTTCGTTCGTTTCGTTCGTTCGTTCGTTCTTCGTTCGTTCGTTCGTTCGTTCGTTCGTTCGTTCGTTCGTTCGTTCGTTCGTTCGTTCGTTCGTTGTTCGTTCGTTCGTTCGTTCGTTCGTTTCGTTCGTTCGTTCGTTCGTTCGTTCGTTCGTTCGTCGTTCGTTCGTTCGTTCGTTCGTTCTTTCGTTCGTTCGTTCGTTCGTTCGTTCGTTCGTTCGTTCGTTCGTTCGTTCGTTCGTTCGTTCGTTCGTTCGTTCGTTCTTTCGTTCGTTCGTTCGTTCGTTCGTTCGTTCGTTCGTTCGTTCTTCGTTCGTTCGTTCGTTCGTTCGTTTTTCGTTCGTTCGTTCGTTCGTTCGTTCGTTCGTTCGTTTCGTTCGTTTCGTTCGTTCGTTCGTTCGTTCGTTCTTCGTTCGTTCGTTTCGTTCGTTCGTTCGTTCGTTCGTTCTTTCGTTCGTTCGTTCGTTCGTTCGTTCGTTCGTTCGTTCGTTCGTTCGTTCGTTCGTTCGTTTTCGTTCGTTCGTTCGTTGTTCGTTCGTTCGTTCGTTCGTTCGTTCGTTTCGTTCGTTCGTTCGTTCTTCGTTCGTTCGTTCGTTCGTTCGTTCTTGTCGTTGTTCTTCGTTCGTTCGTTCGTTCGTTCGTTCGTTCGTTGTTCGTTCTTCGTTCGTTCGTTCGTTAGTTCGTTCGTTCGTTCTTTCGTTCGTTCGTTCGTTCGTTCGTTCGTTAGTTCGTTCGTTCGTTCGTTTTCGTTGCTTTTTCCTGCTGTCGTTTTGCCTCCGGTCCATCCATTTTACTGATGCAAAACAATTTTGTTACCCACTGTTTCTCTGGCGATTAAATATTAATATCTCCTAAAACACAACTTTGTTTACAACTTGTTTACGGAATGTTTATAGCGTGTATTGATTAATGATTCCAAAGTGTTACAAAGATTTATAATTGATTTAAACATGGAATTTAACGAAAATTTAAAAAAATATAAAAGTAATTTCATCAAATTATATTAAAATTAAATTTTAAATTGAATAAATTAAAAGCGGATGCCGCCAAGCATTAATACGCGTTTATAAATAAATTTTGAAGATAATAATAGAAATTAATTGAACTATTTAGTTTTTTTTTGAAATAACCTAGACTGAATTAAAAAACTATAAACTTATAACCGAATTTAAAAAAGTGGTTAAACTCGAAACTTAAATAGTTTTCTTAAGGTTTTATTCTTGTTAGGAATTTTTTTTATAAATTAGTTATAAAACAATGGTTTATTGATTAAAAACTATTTTGTTTTTTATTTTATTTCAGTTACAACAAATATACAGTATTCCATGACAGTGACAAGGCCTTCGAATATATGGTTGAGTTACAAACTCAAGATGTTGATTTGGATTTTTGGCTGTTGTCACGTAACATGTCCATCGTTTCGGTTAGTCCTGTTATGCAGCCTATTTTCGAAAAACGTTTAGCCGAATTGGGTGTAACATATCAGGCAAAACCTTTAATGGAAGAAATGTTGAAATTTAACGAAACTTTAAGTAGTGATAGTTCCGATTGTGAGGGTTCAGAATGTGGTCATAGTAGAACAAGAAGACAAGCTAGAGGCTTCTTCACCCACTTCCCCAGATACAGTGAGGTAAGCAAGTTAACTTAAGGGTTTGAGAATCAAGTGTCAGGGATTATTATATTTTCTTTATTTTAGATCTTGAATTATATGAACGCTTTGGCTGCTCGTTATCCTCAATATTGCCGTTATGAGTCATTGGGTCGTTCTAATGAGGGCCGTCATTTAGCTGCTTTGTCTATTTCTCTTAACAGTCGTTCGCGTCCACGTCGTGTGGCTTATATCCAGTCCGGTACTCATGGTCGTGAATGGATTACTCCTTTGGCCACTTTGTACTTTGCTAACGAATTGTTGACTAATATTAAAGCTTTTACTCGTATCCTCAATGATGTGGAAATCTATGTTTTGCCTTTGGTAAATCCTGATGGTTATGAGTACACTTTCACTACGGTAAGTAAGTTATATGCTCAGAGGTCAGAATAGGTCTTAGGAATATTATCTTATTAAAGAAAAAGCAACTGAACTGTAGAGTTTCTGAATTGAGCTTTAGCTAAAGGTGGAACTTATATTTTTGACTTTCTATTTTTATGTTTTAATTATATTGCAGGATCGTTTCTGGCGTAAAAACAGACATCATTATCCTGGTCGTACTTGTGCTGGTGTTGATATCAATCGTAATTTTGCCAACAATTGGAATTATCGTGGTGCCAGTCAAAATGTAAATATATCAAAGAAACTCTTAACTACTCTTAACCCTATTTTCTAAACATTTATAAATTCTTCCCTATTTAGCTTTGCTCTGAAGTCTTTTCGGGTACCTCTCCAGCCTCGGAACCCGAAACATCTGCCATTGTTCGCTACTTGGAATACAATCGTCATCGCATTAAGTTGAGTTTGGATGTTCATTCATTTGGCAAATTCATTTTCTATCCATATGGTTATTCAAGGTGAGTAAAAACTACAAAAAATTTCAATTAATTTTATCTAAAGGAAACGGAAATCTAACAATTAATTTCTATTTTCATTTTACAGAAATGCTCATGCTCCCACACGTACTTTCTTGCATTCCGTTGCCAGCCGCGCTGCCAATCAAATTGCCAAATACCGTGGCACTCACTATTCGGTGGGTACTTCATCTAGCATTTTATATGAAGCTTCCGGTGGTCTTGATGATTTTGCTTATGGTAATTTGGGCATACCCATGTCCTTTACTCTCGAGTTGCCTGGTGATAATTTCCAAGTTGCCTCCTCGGACATTATACATGTGTGCAAAGAGACATTTGCTGGTTTTATCGAATTTATTAGACATGTTAGTTTATATTAAATTAAATACATAGAGAAAATACTTCCACTAAATCTACATTTGCATACAGGTAACTTATATTTGTATGAATGTCGATTGTAGCCACATTATATGTTTTAAGTTCCATTGAATCTTTTTTACTTTTAAATTTTAGTAGCATCTTCTTTTATTAACAAAATGTATAAATATTATCTCTTTATTTCAATTAAGTTTTGTAATTGAATTTTTTGCCTATAGTTTGTAATTTAACTGTTAATTAATTGTAGTGAAATAAATAAAAAAACAAAAATACTTTTAAATGATTTTTTTTTGAGATTTATTTAAACAGTTGTTAACTCTTTGACGACCATATAGAATATGGAATAGACTATAGACTACACTATAGACTAGACTATACTCTAGACTATAGACTAGACTATAGATTAGACTATAGACTAGACTATAGACTAGACTATAGACAAGACTATAGACTAGACTATAGACTAAACTGTAGACTAGACTATAGACTAGACTATAGACCAGACTATAGACTAGACTATAGACTAGACTAGACTATAGACTAGACTATAGACTAGACTATAGACTAGACTTAAAACTAGACTATAGACCAGACTATAGACTAGACTATAGACTAAACTGTAGACATAGACTAACTGTAGACTAGACTATAGACTAGACTATAGACTAGACTATAGACTAGACTATAGACTAGACTATAGACTAGACTATAGACTAGACTATAGACTAGACTATAGACTAGACTAAAGACTAGACTATAGACTAGACTATAGACTAGACTATAGACTAGACTATAGACTAGACTATAGACTAGACTATAGACTAGACTATAGACTAGACTATAGACTAGACTATAGACTAGACTATAGACTAGACTATAGACTAGACTATAGACTAGACTATAGACTAGACTATAGACTAGACTATAGACTAGACTATAGACTAGACTATAGACTAGACTATAGACTAGACTATAGACTAGACTATAGACTAGACAATAGACTAGACTATAGACTAGACTAGACTACTATAGACTAGACTATAGACTAGACTATGACTAGACTATAGACTAGACTATAGACTAGACTATAGACTAGACTATAGACTAGACTAGACTAGACTATAGACTAGACTATAGACTAGACTATAGACTAGACTATAGACTAGACTATAGACTGACTAGACTATAGACTAGACTATAGACTAGACTATAGACTAGACTATAGAATGACTAACTTAGACTTAAACTAGACTATAGACCAGACTATAGACTAACTATAGACTAAACTGTAGACTAGACTATAGACTAAACTGTAGACTAGACTATAGACTAGACTATAGACTAGACTATAGACTAGACTATAGGACTAGACTATAGACTAGACTATAGACTAGACTATAGACTAGACTATAGACTAGACTATAGACTAGACTATAGACTAGACTATAGACTAGACTATAGACTAGACTATAGACTAGATTATAGACTAGACTATAGACTAGATTATAGACTAGACTATAGACTAGACTATAAACTAGACTATAGACCAGACTATAGACTAGACTATAGACTAGATTATAGACTAGACTATAGACTAGATTATAGACTAGACTATAGACTAGATTATAGACTAGACTATAGACTAGAGTCTAGTCTATAGTCTAGTCACTAGACTATAGACTAGACTATAGACAAGACTATAGACTAGACTATAGACAAGACTATAGACTAGACTATTGGACTAGAACTATAGACTAGACTATTGACTGGACTATAGACTAGACTATAGACTAGACTATAGACTAGACTATAGACTAGACTATAGACTAGACTATAGACTAGACTATAGACTAGACTATAGACTAGACTATAGACTAGACTATAGACTAGACTATAGACTAGACTATAGACTAGACTATAGACTAGACTATAGACTGGACTATAGACTAGACTACAGACTAGACTATATACTAGACTATGACTAGACTATAGACTAGACTATAGACTAGACTATAGACTAGACTATAGACCTATAGACTAGACTATAGACTTGACTACAGACTAGACTATACGACTATAGACTACATAGACTAGACTATAGACTAGACTAGACTAGACTATAGACTAGACTATAGACTAGACTATAGACTAGACTATAGACTAGACTATAGACTAGACTATAGACTAGACTATAGACTAGACTATAGACTAGACTATAGACTAGACTATAGACTAGACTATAGACTAGACTATAGACTAGACTATAGACTAGACTATAGACTAGACTATAGACTAGACTATAGACTAGACTATAGACTAGACTATAGACTAGACTATAGACTAGACTATAGATTAGACTATAGATTAGACTATAGACTAGACTATAGACTAGACTATAGACTAGACTATAGACTAGACTATAGACTAGACTATAGACTAGAATATAGACTAGACTATAGACTAGACTATAGACTAGACTATAGACTAGACTATAGACTAGACTATAGACTAGACTATAGACTAGACTATAGACTAGACTATAGACTGGACTATAGACTAGACTATAGACTAGAATATAGACTAGAATATAGACTAGAATATAGACTAGAATATAGACTAGATTATAGACTAGACTAGAATAAATACTCTTTAAATTTATTTGATATAAAGTAATATAATCAATCTATTATAGCTGATCGCATAATCCAATTAATGTAAGCGGCAAAATTTTTTTAATAAATATCATAAATGATAATCTACAAAATCGTCTAGGGGAATTATTCATCACTTAACGATAAGCAGTAATTACTTTATTAATATTAGTTTTATTTTAATGACCAAAACCATTAATAAATTAATACTTCTGCACAACAACTTCAGCCATCGCCTTTATGCCCACCCAAGTTTCTACGACAATATCTTCAATTTGTCTAACAGGGGGATCAAAACCGGAAAATCCTCCTGCTGGTAATTCCATGGCCATGGCAATGGGTATGTGCAAATAGCCAGTAGCATAATCGGCTGAATCTCCCGAGGTAGGGTACATGACACTGTACGTATTGCCGTAGGTGTAAATACTATTTGTGGCTAAGATAATAGCTAAGGCACCTGCATCGGCCACATCCATCATATCGAAATAGTTGTCGGGTAGGTCTCTAGATAATTTTAATAAAAAAATTTTAATAATTCAAAACTATATAAGTTATATTTACTTGGTATGACCATAGGGCAAAAGTATATAATTTCCATAGGAATGCAAAGACAAATACCATTTGATACGATGCGCATAGGTAATCATAATATCACGCACTACTTGTGTTTCGGGTTCCGAAAATGGTTTATCACCATAGTAGGTTTCATCACAGGGATCCGCTGAGGCTCCCTCATCTGAACCCCATTGAAAACCGAAATTACGATTAGGATCTGTACCATAACAATCTTGTGCGAAATTATTAGGTTTTCGTGTTTTACGCCAATAACGATCCTCTTCGTGTGTATACTCATAACCATCGGCATTTACCAACGGCATAATAATCCAGTCAAAATCTTGTAATAAATGTTTATATGATTCAAAATTCAATATCAATTCATTCATTATGTATAAAGCCATTGAGGGTGTGATCCATTCCCGAGCATGCATGGCAGCATCAATGAATATAATTTTCTTATTCGGCACACCATCACCATTAGTAATGGTTATAATTTTCAAAGGTCTCTGTTCGTAAGTGCGTCCAAAAGTTTTAACAAATACTCGAGAGGGATATAGTTTCGCTAGATATTCCATATTTTCATTAATTTCTTCATGACGATAATATGCTTCAAATACATTTAAGGGATATATGGCTGGGGATTCTCGGGAATTGTACAAACGTTCTTTAACTATAATTTCCGAAACATCTTCCACTAATAAAGTATAATTTAATTCATACTTATCTAATATATTACGTAGTTCTTGCTCCCTATAGTGGGGTATTAAAACTTTAGTTGGTTTAGAGGGGTGTTTAGCCAAGTTGAGAAAATCGAAATTTTTTCTTAGTTTTACAATTTTCTTTAGCATTTCCAATTGTTCGGCATTTTCAGCTTTAATGTCATAGATTTTATAACTTTAAAAATCCCAATATTAGTTTGAAATGTTATTAGGTTTTTTGTTTAGAAAACTTACTCTTTATAATCTTTGTAGGCTTGTATTAAAGTTCCATTTAATAGACTTATTACTAGAACAAGTTTTGCCAGCGACATGATCAGGTCAAGTTTTTTATAAAAACTGAAAATTACTTATTAACTGAAGAATATTTTTGGTAGATATTTAATGGATTTATTTGTACCAATTAATTAGCTACTTTATAAATATAATTTTGTATAATTAGTTTATCATTTTATTATTGTTATTGAACATATTGTTAGACGTTAGATATACATACCTACTTGCATTATACTTTTTATGATATAAATACATATAGATGGAATAACGTAACCGAAAACGTTTTTGAACTATGTTTTAATAATTCAAAAAGTACTTTCTGAAGACAGAAATACTATAAAAAGTTCATTTGTTATAAATTCTTATTCAATCAGTATAATTTGTTGAACAAAAAAGACAGTCAGTTCCATCCCAGGAAAAACTTTACTTACCAGGTAATTAATATTGTAGTGAAGTGGAAGTACTTACTTTTGGGATGAATAACTAATCATTTTGTTCGACGAGGTTTAACAAATGTGTTTACTCGACTTTCCCAGTCTAAACCCGGCTCTACAGTTATTTTTGGTATTTATTAATCTATTCACTTACTCAGTGCTGTATTTTGAAGAAGTCTCTAAACGTGTCCTTTTCTAGATTAACATTTGCTCAGAGTCCTTTATGTTAAATTTTATGATTCCGGGTTCAATATCTTAAACAACTTACGAAGTGCCGTTTGAACTAAATCAGCTTTCATCAAAAATCCCTTCTTATAGATTCTCATTCACTCAGGACCCTGCATGTTGAATTTTATGTTTCTAGGACTAATATTATAGAATTATTGATAGCTATTTGATGAACGTAAAATTATCAGAGAATCGCCAGTTGTATAATTTTTACTTAATACCCTCTCTATATTTTAGTATTTAATTTTTGTGGCGTAGTACCTCGCCCACTAATGCTAGTCCACTTATACTTCAACCATATGTTCATTTTGTTACTAAAAGTACATAAAAAATGTTTGGGATTTCTACCTGGTGTAATTTTCCATATATACCTACGAACTCTAGTGTTTAATTAACGCCCACTATGAACCATATTGATAATTCCCCAATTTATTACCCAAACATTTACATGAATTGAGGATTGTAGATCCCATAGTTTCCAAGATGTAAACATTTTTGTATTTCATTTATGTGGGAGATATCATGTCCCTATTGATATTCCCGTCATTTTCCCCAAAATTGTTTATGTAGCCCGTGCAAAATTTCAGGATTCTAGATCGTATAGTTTCCCAGATAGATACATATGTATATGAATTTACATATGGAAGGGAACCACGCCTCTATAATCCGCACATTTAATGGGCAAATGTTTACTTCGATGACAAAGATTTTCGTGCATGGAGGAACCACGCCTCCCCCCCATTTCTAGTCTGACCATATTTGTCTTAAATATTCATATTGATACCAAAGTGGCTCCGACAAAATATTAAGACTCTAACTGTTATTTTTTCTCCTAGATATTAATGTATCATTTTCTTTATATGGGAGGTACCACGCCCAACAATTGCTAGTGTAAAATATTCTTATTGATACTAAAATTAGTCGTTCCACTATTTCTTGTTGTCCCATTTTTGCATAAAATTTCCACATTGAACTGTAGATTTTATAGTTTCCCAAATTTAAGCCATTTGCTATTGGCTTGAAATATTAGGCGTGGGATGTGCCACACCCACTATTGTTAGTTCGCCCATTTTTTCTCCAAATGTTGATATAAAAATGTGTTAAAGTTATCCGTGGAAAATTTGTACCAATTTATCAGATAAACGACTTTTAATAGTTATTTTGTAAGTGGGCGTGAAAATTTGAAGAAAATCGGTTCAGCTATTTATCCGTCTATAGACTTCAATCAAGTATACATACGAATAAAATCACATTCATTTTTATATGTATAAAAAAGCAGAATAGATACTACTATAGTGGGGATGGTATTATGCGTTTATGCTAAAATTTTGGTTCTAAAGTTTAACAATGGGTTCAGAAACACTTTCTGATGTCCATTCATGTACCCATGTACACGTTGTTATCAAAGTACAGGTCACATTTTCAAGATAATTTGATGAACAAATATTTATTTTCAGCCAGAGAATAAGTCCTTTGAAATTGGTCAATTATTTTACTTAGCCCTCTTACAACCGAATCTTCAGAATAGGTTTTTTTTGGACTCATAATTTTGTTAAATATAATAGTTTCTCGGCAAAAATTGGCACAACTATGTATGTTCTGTATAAGTCTTGATGAAACTGCCGATTTTCGTAATGACACTAAACCTCCTTCAGAACATTTTGAAACTAAATTATATAAGAATGGTTCCGAAATTGGCTTTAGCCCCCACATAAGCCTCTATTTCAAAAAATTAAGCTTTTCATTGCTAAATATATGGATGACAAGAGACCTTTGAAAATAATATTAAATTTTGCATATGATCAGGTGTAAAGTTTTGAATCAAATTTTTGGATAAAATAAGTTAATATAACTGAATACCTGCATATGCTGTGTAGGGTAACGATAAAGTAATGGAACCAAACCTTTTTTGTGGTACAACTAAAATGCAAAAGATAACCAATTGATAACAAAAATAACATTTGCCACTAAAAAATATTGAGAAGTACTGTTAACCAAAACTGATTAATATTCTTAAAATTATCAAACAATGAATAGGACAATAACAGTTATCGGTCTATTAAAATTTCTTATTATTTTTAATATTTTAACGTTCACTAATGGACAAAATAACTATCAGAAATATGAGGGGTAAGTTTTCGAAATAAAACCACAAAATTTTTAAATTAATATTATTAAAATTTCAGTTACAAAATCTATGAAATACACTTTCACAACGAAAATCAAAATATACAATTTATTAAAAATTTTCCTCAAATAACACAACCATTAACTACTAACCGACCTAAAAGAGACACCTCTATGCGAGTTCTAATGTCCCCGAGGGAGGAATTGAAAGTTTTGAAATATCTACAAAAGAAAAACATACACTTTGAAATAATCAATTATAATGTGGCTGAGAGTATAAGAAATGAGCGTAAAGCTACCAATTACTCTGCCTCAGCTAACACTATCAGTTTCGAAAGTTATCAGCGTTTTGACGTTATCAGTAATTATATGGAGTATTTGAAAATGCAATACCCTGAACGCATAAAACTAATGAGTGTAGGTAAATCATACGAGGGTCGTGATTTGAAAGCTATACTAATAACTAACAATAAAAAGTTAGAACTCGAAACAGCTGAGAGACCTTTGATCTTAATAGATGCTGGTATTCATGCCAGAGAATGGATAGCTCCGGCTACGGCTCTCTTTGTCATGCAACAACTGGTGGAGAATAATACCTTTTATGAGCGAGAGCTAACAATGTACGATTGGCTTATTTGGCCCGTGGTTAATCCGGATGGTTATGAATATACTCATGAGACCGATCGTTTATGGCGTAAAAATCGCCGACCTTCGAATTCTTCTAAATGTTTGGGTGCTGATTTAAATAGAAATTTCGATTTCAATTGGGCCTATTCGGGAGTTTCTAAAAATGCTTGTTCTGAAATTTATTGTGGAGATGAAGCATTTTCAGAGCCCGAATCAAGAGCCTTAAAGGATTTGTTAAACAATATAAATGCCACATGTCGTATGTATTTAACTTTACATTCCTATGGTAATTACCTTCTATATCCTTGGGGTTATGAAAAGTAAGTGGGATACAGTATATCAGTAGTAGTAGTATGTCATTCACTATAAACTGTTTAATTTTAGATCTTTACCTTCTACTTGGCCCTATTTAGATGCTGTTGCCCGCGCTGGTGCTAGGGCTATTAAAAAGGCATCGGGTACCGTTTATGCTGTGGGTGGTGCAGCAAATGTTTTATATCCAGCTGCTGGGGGTAGTGATGATTATGCCTTTGCTTTGGCCAAAATTCCTGTTGTCATTTGCATGGAATTACCCTCAGGTGGTAACAATTTCGATCCTCCTTCAGATAAAATTCAAGCAATAGTAGAGGAATCTTGGTTGGGAATACGAGCGATGGCTTTGGAAGCTTCTGAATATCCTCTCAGAAATGTAGCGAATTGTAATATTTTTAGAATGTTCATAATGTTGTGTGTCGTAGTGGTATTGGAAGTGTGATTAAATAAAATGTTAATCAATTACATTATAAAAAAATTCAAATATAAAAAAGTTGTCTTTCTAAAATACCATTTGTAAATATCAATACATTTCTTGTTCTCGAAATTCTACTACCTACCGGGAATGGTAGTTAGTGTTAACTGTACTACAACAATTTGCTGATCTTGTAATTATATCGTTGAGTGCTTTATAAAAGCTCCTTAAGTTATACATGACTTTTTTATTTCCAAATCATGTAGATATATAAACTTGCACAATGGGTTTTGATTTAATCTTCGTAAACTTACTAACTACATATTAATTAATTACTCACTGAACTAAAACTTAACTAGAACTGAACTATAAATAAACTAGAACTGAACTAAAACTAAACTAGAACTGAACTAGAACTGAACTAGAACTGAACTAGAACTGAACTAGAACTGAACTAGAACTGAACTAGAACTGAACTAGAACTGAACTAGAACTGAACTAGAACTGAACTAGAACTGAACTAGAACCGAACTAGAACTGAACTAGAACTGAACTAGAACTGAACTAGAACTGAACTAGAACTGAAGTAGAACTGAACTAGAACTGAACTAGAACTGAACTAGAACTGAACTAGAACTGAACTAGAACTGAACTAGAACTGAACTAGAACTGAACTAGAACTGAACTAGAACTGAACTAGAACTGAACTAGAACTGAACTAGAACTGAACTAGAACTGAACTAGAACTGAACTAGAACTGAACTAGAACTGAACTAGAACTGAACTAGAACTGAACTAGAACTGAACTAGAACTGAACTAGAACTGAACTGAACTAGAACTGAACTAGAACTGATCTAGAACTGAACTAGAACAGAACTAGAACTACAACTGAACTAGAACTGAACTAGAACTGAACTAGAACTGAACTAGAACTGAACTAGAACTGAACTAGAACTGAACTAGAACTGAACTAGAACTGAACTAGAACTGAACTAGAACTGAACTAGAACTGAACTAGAACTGAACTAGAACTGAACTAGAACTGAACTGAACTAGAACTGAACTAAAACTGAACTAGAACTGACCATGTTATTTAGCTAAGTGTGCGCCCATGAAGAGGACATAAATCTTAACCAAAACTTAAAATGCTCAAAACCTATTGTGCAATACCATTCATTCATAGGCCTTTTTTTATCTGCAGACATAAGTATGTACATATTTTTGAAACTTATATGCTTGCACGAGCTTATTTAAGAATATTGTAAATTTGGTTTTTCGAGCAGCAAAATTATCAATTAAAACAATTTTTTTAAATATATTTCACACTTATTTTAACTTGAGAAAATCCCACTCAATATTGAATGATTAGAAAATAATTTATAATATAACTAAATTTACTTTGATTTAAACAGTGATTAGATTATATTCAATATTTCAGAAGCAAAAAATAAATTTTAATCAAAATTACAAAACGAGTACCAAGGTATAGTGGCGATTGCTATAGTTCACGAAATTTCAGTTCAAATTTGTTCTCACAATAGAACTGACCATTTTAGGGAACAATGTCACGTGTGGGCGCAATTGTATTGGCTTTGGCTGCTGTGTTGGCTGTAACAAGTGCCGAAGGATATGATGGGTAAGTGATACTTTAATATGCTATAATAGAGCAAAAGAAGGATTATGCAGAAATATTCGGAGACATTCTAAGAGCTGATTTTACAATTTTTTGTATTTTTTTTATTTTGTTCTCTTCTTATTTCAGTTACAAAGTCTTCGAGATCCTTCCCAAAACCCAAGAACAAACCGATTTTCTTCATGAATTATCGAAAATGGATGAATTCTATGATTTCTTTACTTTGAGAAGAATGCCAAATCATATGGCTCGTGTTATGGTCAATCCTAATGAGGAAGAGAATTTCCTTAACTCTTTGGCCGAACATAATCTTAGCTTCAGAATTGTCATTGATGATGTTGGACGTACAATGGAACATGAATTCCAAATGGATAAGATGAAACGTAGTTTGACCCCATTCTCAGGCAAGGGACGTTTGAGTACCGAACGTTATTACAGTCATGGCGAAATCAATAATTATATTGAAGATTTGGAAAAACGTTTCCCATCTCGTGTATTCCTCAAGACCGTCGGCAAATCCTATGAGGGACGTAATATTAAGACTATTACAATTACCAATGGAGATGGTCGTGCCAATAAGAATGTCATCTTTATTGATGGTGGTTTCCATGCTCGTGAATGGATTTCTCCTGCAGCTGTTTTATATGTTATCGAACAGTTGGTCGAGAATTTCGAAGAAAATGCTGAACTTTTGTTGGATTATGATTTCGTCATCTTGCCTGTGGTTAATCCTGATGGTTATGAATATACACAGACCAGCACTTCTGCCCGTTTTTGGCGTAAAACTCGTCAACCTTATCAAACTGAAAGCAAAATTTGCTACGGTGCTGATCCCAATCGTAACTTTGATTTCCACTGGAATGAAGAGGGTGCTTCATCTAACCCCTGCTCCGATACCTATGCTGGACCTCACGGTTTCTCTGAACCCGAAACCATTATTGTACGTGATTTGATTCATTCCCTTAAACATCGTGGTGGCATGTATTTGACTGTACATTCGTATGGCAATTATTTGCTTTATCCTTGGGGCTATACCGCGTAAGTAAATTTTCGAAAATTTCTGAAAAACTTTATTATAATCCATAATTTTATTTCCAGTGATTTACCCGAAACCTGGCCAGATTTGGATGAAGTAGCCAAGACTGGTTATGATGCTATTTTCAATGCTACCGGTACTAAATACACTTATGGTTCCTCCACCAATGTCTTGTATATTGCCGCTGGCGCTAGTGATGATTATGCTTTCCAAGCTGGTTTCAAAATTGCTATGACCATGGAGTTGCCCGGTGGCGGTAGCATGGGTTTCAATCCACCTGCCTCTAGCATCGATAGAATGGTCAAGGAAACTTGGGTTGGTATTCGTGCCATGGCCAAGAAAGTTACTGAAAAATATCCTACTGAAAGAATTGAATTTTTGTAATTTAATTTATTTAAAATAATATTAAGTAAATAGGTATTTTACTTGAAAAATTCGAATTATATTTGAAATAAAATAATAAGAAATATTTTCTATTAAAGATATGTACTGTTATGTTCTAATGACCTATCAACTAGAACTGAACTATAACAGAATTAAATCTTAATTAGAACTGAACTAGAACTGAACTAGAACTGACTAGAACTGAACTAGAACTGAACTAGAACTGAACTAGAACTGAACTAGAACTGAACTAGAACTGAACTAGAACTGAACTAGAACTGAACTAGAACTGAACTAGAACTGAACTAGAACTGAACTAGAACTGAACTAGAACTGAACTAGAACTGAACTAGAACTGAACTAGAACTGAAACTAGAACTGAACTAGAACTGAACTAGAACTGAACTAGAACTGAACTAGAACTGAACTAGAACTGAACTAGAACTGAACTAGAACTGAACTAGAACTGAACTAGAACTGAACTAGAACTGAACTAGAACTGAACTAGAACTGAACTAGAACTGAACTAGAACTGAACTAGAACTGAACTAGAACTGAACTAGAACTGAACTAGAACTGAACTAGAACTGAACTAGAACTAAACTAGAACTGAACTAGAACTGAACTAGAACTAGAACTGAACTAGAACTGAACTAGAACTGAACTAGAACTGAACTAGAACTGACTAGAACTGAACTAGAACTGAACTAGAACTGAACTAGAACTGAACTAGAACTGAACTAGAACTGAACTAGAACTGAACTAGAACTGAACTAGAACTGAACTAGAACTGAACTAGAACTGAACTAGAACTGAACTAGAACTGAACTAGAACTGAACTAGAACTGAACTAGAACTGAACTAGAACTGAACTAGAACTGAACTAGAACTGAACTAGAACTGAACTAGAACTGAACTAGAACTGAACTAGAACTGAACTAGAACTGAACTAGAACTGAACTAGAACTGAACTAGAACTGAACTAGAACTGAACTAGAACTGAACTAGAACTGAACTAGAACTGAACTAGAACTGAACTAGAACTGAACTAGAACTGAACTAGAACTGAACTAGAACTGAACTAGAACTGAACTAGAACTGAACTAGAACTGAACTAGAACTGAACTAGAACTGAACTAGAACTGAACTAGAACTGAACTAGAACTGAACTAGAACTGAACTAGAACTGAACTAGAACTGAACTAGAACTGAACTAGAACTGAACTAGAACTGAACTAAACTAGAACTGACTAGAACTGAACTAGAACTGAACTAGAACTGAACTAGAACTGAACTAGAACTGAACTAGAACTGAACTAGAACTGAACTAGAACTGAACTAGAACTGAACTAGAACTGAACTAGAACTGAACTAAACTGAACTAGAACTGAACTAGAACTGAACTAGAACTGAACTAAACTGAACTAGAACTGAACTAGAACTGAACTAGAACTGACTAGAATGAATTACAACTGAACAAGATCTGATCCACATAGAACTAAACAAAAAGTTCCTTTTGTGAAGGAATTGATTCTTTACAGTTAATCGCAGCAGTAATACAACTTGAAATTTTGAATTGGATTTAATTGACCCTTAAGCGTTCGTTAAAACGAAATCAAACTGTACTTTATATTATTTACTGAATAAGTTATTAAGATAAGTTTACAATAATCAAAATTAACATTAGATGTTATCTGCTGGTACCAAATATCAATATCGGCAGGTATGTAGGAACAATAAATAGCGTTAAAGATTAAACATCTTAACTCTATAATCCTAAAACAAAAAACATTTATACATTGTAGCCAAATTTCACTAATTCGTACTTATTCGAACTCTGTTATCGGTTAATAAACAAATATTGACCATTTAGAATTGCATTTGAATTGTAGTGATTAGGACACACTAATTAGTAATTGATTAGATATCATTAATAACAATAATTGAATATATCTTAAACTAATAAATACCCACAATAATTGTAAACATTTAGCAAAGAATTATTTTAAAATGCCACATTAATAATTCAGTTTAAATGCAGCAGTGTTGAAGTAAAGTGGACAAGTTTTAAAATGCTGAATTTTCGATTAATGGTGGTTGGTCTTTTATGGGCGAATATATTTGTTGTGTACATAAATGCTAAAAGTTATAACGGGTAATTAGTCCTTTAATGTGTAAAAATTTTTATTTATGATTTCAACAAATTATTTCTACAGTTACAAATTGTATCAATTGCTACCGAAAGATGAAAAGGATTTAAATCTGTTGAAAAGTTTAACTCGACAAGAGGAACGCTATGACTTTTTAAACTCTGAAACCGTTATAGTGGAACCCAACAGCTTGCGAGAATTTGAAAATGCTTTAAACAAATATAATTTAAAATTCAAACTCGTAGACGAAGATGTGGGCAAAACTTTAGAGCGCAACTTCGAAGTGAATCGTTTAATGAAAACCCTAAAGCCTTACAAAGGACAAGGGCGTCTAAGCACCGAACGTTATTACAGTCATGGCGAAATAAATGCTTATCTAGAATACTTAGCCCAATCATATCCCCAACGTGTTATACTTAAAACAGTGGGTTATTCCTTTGAAGGACGTCCCATGAAGGCTCTCACAATCACTAATGGTCAGGGTAGTTATGATAAAAATGTGATTTTAGTTGATGGTGGCTTTCATGCTCGTGAATGGATTTCACCCGCCTCGGCAATTTATGCCATTGAACAATTGGTGGAGAATTACGAGGAGAATAAAGAACTTTTAGAGAATTACAATTGGGTAGTTTTGCCGGTGGTGAACCCAGATGGTTATGAATATACACAGGAGTCTGCTGATACTCGCATGTGGCGCAAAACTCGCAAGCCTTTATTCCATGAGGGCGCCATTTGTTATGGCACTGATCCTAATCGTAATTTTGATTTTCATTGGAATGAGGAGGGCGCTTCATCGGATCCCTGTTCGAATACGTTTGCTGGACCAAAAGCATTTTCTGAACCAGAAGCTATGGTAGTGAGGGATTTAATACATACATTTAGTGTTAAAGGTCAAATGTATTTGACCCTACATTCGCAAGGAAAGTTGTTGCTTTATCCTTGGGGCTGGAGCGCGTAAGTATCATGTTACTACTAACTAACTAACTAACTAACTAACTAACTAACTAACTAACTAACTAACTAACTAACTAACTAACTAACTAACTAACTAACTAACTAACTAACTAACTAACTAACTAACTAACTAACTAACTAACTAACTAACTAACTAACTAACTAACTAACTAACTAACTAACTAACTAACTAACTAACTAACTAACTAACTAACTAACTAACTAACTAACTAACTAACTAACTAACTAACTAACTAACTAACTAACTAACTAACTAACTAACTAACTAACTAACTAACTAACTAACTACTAACTAACTAACTAACTAACTAACTAACTAACTAACTAACTAACTAACTAACTAACTAACTAACTAACTAACTAACTAACTAACTAACTAACTAACTAACTAACTAACTAACTAACTAACTAACTAACTAACTAACTAACTAACTAACTAACTAACTAACTAACTAACTAACTAACTAACTAACTAACTAACTAACTAACTAACTAACTAACTAACTAACTAACTAACTAACTAACTAACTACTAACTAACTAACTAACTAACTAACTAACTAACTAACTAACTAACTAACTAACTAACTTAACTAACTAACTAACTAACTAACTAACTAACTAACTAACTAACTAACTAACTAACTAACTAACTAACTAACTAACTAACTAACTAACTACTAACTAACTAACTAACTAACTAACTATCTAACTAACTAACTAACTAACTAACTAACTAACTAACTAACTAACTTCATTATTTCAGTGATTTACCCGATACCTGGGAGGATTTACACGAAGTCGCCACCGCCGGAGCCGAAGCCATATATCAGGCTACTGGCACCAATTACACTGTGGGCTCATCGACAACCGTTCTCTATGTGGCTGCTGGTGCTAGTGATGATTATGCTTTCAATGCTGGTTTTCCCATATCATTTACCATGGAATTGCCAGGAGCTGGTTCTACAGGTTTTGATCCCCCCGTTGAAATGATTGATGAATTGGTAAAAGAAACCTGGGTGGGCATTAAAGCGATGGGTCTTAAAGTTATTGAAAAATATCCATTGGTATAATTATTACTTACCAAGTTAAGATGATTACGTTTAAATATGAAAATAAAAGTATTTTTATTTATAAAAAAATTAAAAGGTTTCTTTTAATTAACAACAATAGCAACAGTTTTGTAATTAAAAGTATTTTGTATAAATTGTATCCACTGCATACTTTTGTTGTTGTGTTAAGTACTACAACACTTGAATCGTGCAATAGAAACTAAGTATGAATATAGTTTAAAGTGTTTTATCTGTTGAATTGCTTTAATTAATATCACAAACTGCCTTTTTGCGATAAGCTAAATAACTATGTACTTACTATATGATGGATTTTACTCTATTGAATATTGTTGACAGGTTTAGGTTTTCATTGATATTTTCATTTTTCTACGCGAGTGTTTAGTTTAGCATTGATTTAAGTGTGTCACTTGTAGCAACATTTCTCAAGTATTTCTCTTTAAGTATTTTGCTTTATTATATTTATACCCCTTTTTAAACTGTTTGGTTTTGGATACTGATAACATATACTCTTTAACTCTATTGTTGGCCATTTGTTGTAGGTTAACAATAGGCCCCCGTTGTTAGAGTTTATTGGATGATTAGGTAGGCAATGAATTTTAACTGGTGAAATTGTTTTGTTTTAAATTTGAAATTTAATTAATTACATTACTTTACGGCAAACAATTATTGCTTAATGATGAACTTGAAATTTAAAATGATTATTTATAAATTATATATGAAATGTGTCCGGATTTTTGTTTCTTTTAAAATGCAGTACAATAACTGCAATATGTATTTGCTAGAGTTTGGCCATTTTTAGACCCTTTTTTTGAATCGCATAAAGTAATAAACAAACTCTCGATAAGATAATAAATAATTAATATTTATAATTAGTTATTCTGCTAAAAGCCTGCAAAAACAAGTAAAGTCGAGCATGACCGATCAGAGACTATTTTAAAAATGTGGACTATAGAATAGACTAGACTATAGACTAGATTATAGACAAGACTATATACTAGACTATAGACTAGGCTATAGACTAGACTATAGACTAGACTATAGACTAGACTAGGCTATAGACTAGACTAGACTATAGACTAGACTATAGACTAGACTATAGACTAGACTATAGAATAGACTATAGACTAGACTATTGTCTAGACTATAGACTAGACTATAGACTAGACTATAGACTAGACTATAGACTAGACTATAGACTAGACTATAGACTAGACTATAGACTAGACTATAGACTAGACTATAGACTAGACTATAGACTAGACTAAAGACTAGACTAAAGACTAGACTACAGACTAGACTATAGACTAGACTATAGACTAGACTATAGACTAGACTATAGACTAGACTATAGACTAGACTATAGACTAGACTATAGACTAGACTATAGACTAGACTATAGACTAGACTATAGACTAGACTATAGACTAGACTGTAGACTAGTCTATAGACTAGACTATAGACTAGACTGTAGACGAGACTATAGACTAGACTATAGACTAGACTATAGACAAGACTATAGACTAGACTATAGACTAGACTATAGACTAGACTATAGACTAGACTATAGACTAGACTATAGACTAGACTATAGACTAGACTATAGACTAGACTATAGACTAGACTATAGACTAGACTATAGACTAGACTATAGACTAGACTATAGACTAGACTATAGACTAGACTATAGACTAGACTATAGACTAGACTATAGACAAGACTATAGACTAGAGTAGACTATAGACTAGAGTAGACTATAGACTAGACTATAGACTAGACTATAGACTAGACTATAGACTAGACTATAGACTAGACTATAGACTAGACTATAGACTAGACTATAGACTAGACTATAGACTAGACTATAGACTAGACTATAGACTAGACTATAGACTAGACTATAGACTAGACTATAGACTAGACTATAGACTAGACTATAGACTAGACTATAGACTAGACTATAGACTAGACTAGACTATAGACTAGACTATAGACTAGACTATAGACTAGACTATAGACTAGACTATAGACTAGACTAGACTAGACTATAGACTAGACTATAGACTAGACTATAGACTAGACTATAGACTAGACTATAGACTAGACTATAGACTAGACTATAGACTAGACTATAGACTAGACTCTAGACTAGTCTATAGACTAGACTCTAGACTAGACTCTAGACTAGACTCTAGACTAGACTATAGACTAGACTATAGACTAGACTATAGACTAGACTATAGACTGGACTATAGACTAGACTATAGACCAGACTATAGACTAGACTATAGACTAGACTATAGACTAGACTATAGACTAGACTATAGACTAGACTAGACTATAGACTAGACTAGACTATAGACTAGACTAGACTATAGACTAGACTATAGACTAGACTATAGACTAGACTATAGACTAGACTAGACTATAGACTAGACTAGACTAGACTAGACTAGACTAGACTAGACTAGAGTAGACTAGACTAGACTAGACTAGACTAGACTAGACTATAGACTAGACTAGACTATAGACTAGACTAGACTAGACTATAGACTAGACTAGACTATAGACTAGACTAGACTATAGACTAGACTCTAGACTAGACTATAGACTAGACTCTAGACTAGACTATAGACTAGACTATAGACTAGACTATAGACTAGACTCTAGACTAGACTATAGACTAGACTCTAGACTAGACTCTAGACTAGACTATAGACTAGACTATAGACTAGACTATAGACTAGACTATAGACTAGACTATAGACTAGACTATAGACTAGACTATAGACTAGACTATAGACTAGACTATAGACTAGACTATAGACTAACTAGACTATAGACTATAGACTAGACTATAGACTAGACTATAGACTAGACTATAGACTAGACTATAGACTAGACTAGACTAGACTATAGACTAGACTATAGACTAGACTATAGACTAGACTATAGACTAGACTATAGACTAGACTATAGACTAGACTATAGACTAGACTATAGACTAGACTATAGACTAGACGATACTAGACTAGAGCTAGACTAGACTAGACTATAGACTAGAACTATACTAGACTACTAGACTATTAGCACTAAGACCTATAGACTAAGACTATAGACTAGACCTATAGAACTAAGACTATAGACTAGACATACTAGACTAGACTAGACTATAGACTAGACTATAGACTAGACTATAGACTAGACTATAGACTAGACTATAGAACTAACGAGACTATAGACTAGACTAGAGACTAGACTATAGACTAGACTATAGACTAGACTATAGACTAGACTATAGACTAGACTATAGACTAGACTATAGACTAGACTATAGACTAGACCTATAGACTAGACTATAAGACTAGACTATAGACTAGACTATAGACTAGACTATAGACTAGAAGACTATAGACTAGACCTATAGACTAGACTAGAGGACTAGACTTATGACTAGACTAGACTAGACATAGCTAGACTATAGACTAGACTATAGACTAGACTATAGACTAGACTAATTAGACTAGACTATAGACTAGACTATAGACTAGACTATAGACTAGACTATATACAGACATAGACTAGACTATAGACTAGACTATAGACTAGACTATAGACTAGACTATAGACTAGACTATAGACTAGACTATAGACTAGACTATAGACTAGACTATAGACTAGACTATAGACGAGACTATAGACTATACTATAGACTAGACTGTAGATTAGACTGTAGATTAGACTGTAGACTAGACCATGGACTAGACTATAGACTAGACTATAGACTAGACTATAGACAAGGCTATAGACTAGACACCTCCTTTACGAGAGTCTCTGGTGGTAATCAAAAGATCTTCGCTATTCGATTGGATTAAAATTTTGCACAAATTAATTTAAGATTCGATAGGAAAACATTGAAATACCACTAATTCCTTAATTTCCAAAAAAAACCCAAAAATGGAAAATTTAGTTCCAATAGGCTGGAGCACAAAAATTTGTTTGATTATTCGATTGCTAACGAATTCGAATAAAAATTAAATCCTTTTACATTTCAATATCAATCAAATAACTAGACACTAGACTAGACTATAGACTAGACTATAGACTAGACTATAGACTAGACTATAGACTAGACTATAGACTAGACTAGACTAGACTAGACTAGACTATAGACTAGACTAGACTAGACTATAGACTAGACTAGACTAGACTATAGACTAGACTAGACTAGACTAGACTAGACTAGACTAGACTAGACTAGACTATAGACTAGACTATAGACTAGACTAGACTAGACTAGACTATAGACTAGACTCTAGACTAGACTATAGACTAGACTATAGACTAGACTATAGACTAGACTCTAGACTAGACTATAGACTAGACTATAGACTAGACTATAGACTAGACTATAGACTAGACTATAGACTAGACTATAGACTAGACTATAGACTAGACTATAGACTAGACTATAGACTAGACTATAGACTAGACTATAGACTAGACTATAGACTAGACTATAGACGAGACTATAGACTATACTATAGATTAGACTGTAGATTAGACTGTAGATTAGACTGTAGACTAGACCATGGACTAGACTATAGACTAGACTATAGACTAGACTATAGACAACGCTATAGAATAGACACCTCCTTTACGAGAGTCTCTGGTGGTAATCAAAAGATCTTCGCTATTCGATTGGATTAAAATTTTGCACAAATTAATTTAAGATTCGATAGGAAAACATTGAAATATCACTAATTCCTTAATTTCCAAAAAAACCCAAAAATGGAAAATTTAGTTCCAATAGGCTGGAGCATAAAAATTTGTTTGATTATTCGATTGCTAACGAATTCGAATAAAAATTAAATCCTTTTACATTTCAATATCAATCAAATAATCTCAAATTTATTTCGTTTTCGCTACACATTCCTTATTTAATATTTGGAAATAATTTTCTCAGCCATAGCCTTAATACCAATCCAAGTTTCCGAAACGAAAGGTTCAATTTGGGCAGGTTTAGGATCGAAACCAGTGCCACCAGCAGGTAATTCCATGGTAATGGCGACGGGAATATTGGCAACAGCAAAGGCATAATCATCACTACCGCCAGCAGCAGCATACAAAACATTGGTGGAAGAACCAACAGTATATTTAGTACCAGTGGCTGATCTAATAGCGGCAGCACCAGCTTGGGCAACTTCATCCATATCTTTCCAGGTGGCGGGAAGAGCGCTTTAAGTGGGGAAAGGAAAAAATAATTTTAGATATATTTTGTAAGGAATACCGAAAAATATACTTACGATGTATAACCCCAAGGATATAGCAAATAGTTGCCATAGGAATGCAAAGTCAAGTACATCTTGGCACGACCGGTTAAAGAACGCATTAAATCACGTAGAACTTGAGTTTCAGGTTCAGAGAAAGCAGTGGTACCCTTGAAAGTATCCGAACAGGAAAGACTGGAGGCACCTACCTCACCCCAGTGGAAGTCAAAGTTACGATTGCCATCGGTACCATAACAATTGGTGCTGGAGGGTTTACGGGTCTTACGCCACATACGAGACTTAGTGTGAGTGTATTCATAACCATCAGGATTGGCTACGGGAACAATAACCCAATCGTAATCCTTTAACAAATTACTATTAGCCGAGTAATTCTCCACCAATTGCTGAATAACATATAAAGCACCAGCGGGAGCAATCCATTCACGAGCATGAATACCGGCATCCATTAGAATAACTTTCTTACCAGATCTGCCATCACCATTGCTAATAGTTATAGCTTTCAAATCACGATTTTCATAGGTTTTGCCAATAGTCTTAACGGTAACACGACTGGGATAGCTTTTAGCCAACTCATCCAAATAGGCCAGAATGGCATCATAACGTTGGAAGTTGGAGAAACTAATGCGAGAAGAAGTATCCAAAACGGTGCGCAGAAAGTTATTTTGGGCACGTTCCAATTCAGCAGTTTGACCCACATTTTCATCCACCACAGTAAAATCAAGACCAAATTTATTTAAAGTATTTTCAAATTCAACTTGATCATCAGGTTGGATCATAACACGAGCAGCTTCATCCATAGACTTGGGTAAGGCAAAGAAGTCATAGTTTTCATTGTTGGACAAACGATGTAAAACTTCCTTTTCGAAATCATTTTAGCATTAATATCATAGATTTTATAACTGGAATATAATAAATGGAAATTAAACTTTTTATTCCAATATTAGTGAAAACTCCTTGAACTTACCCCTCATAGGTATCGGCCGAGGCCAAAGCTATGCTGCAAAAAAGCACGCCTAATACAATTTTTAAAAACATATTCTATTGTCTCGTAGTTTTCCCTTAGACTGTCTCCAGTCGTATTATTTTATTTTTCCAACTTTTCAGCTTTTTATACTGAAAGTATTTGTTTCTCCAACTGTTAGTTAAAAAAAAAAAATATAAAATTTCTTATCTCTTTGTTTTACTTTTGTTTAAAGAATTGTAGAATTTACCTCATTTCAATCACAAATCACTGTTTTGTATCTATTCTTGGCATTTAGTAGTAATTTATTTGTATATTTATCAATTTTTTTTTATTAAATTATCGCTACTGTACAATCTGTTGGTCAGACACATTTATGATCATTGTTTAAAGATATTTAATTTTGGGTTAAATTTGTTATGGTTTTATAGCACTGGGAACTTGTACTTAAATATTTAAATTTATATAAATTCGAATTATAATTTTATACAAAATACTAGTTTTTCTCAATAATAAATGTTTTTTAAAATTTCTTTAATTTTCTAAAATTTCTTAATTACATTTTCTCAAGTTTTTTCTTTCTCATGCATTTGCATTGACTGAATTTTTAAGGGCAATATCTATTTTATCAGATTGTTATCAGTATCTAAATATTTGTATCTTATAGATACATATGTTTATATTTATAACCTACAAAATTTCTAATTACAATTATACACACAGTGAAACAGAACTAAGTGTTAATCTGTGGTCACAAGGCATAAGCGTCTAACTTAAAAATGAGGATTTATAAAAATCTGTAAAAAATGTAAAAATAATGTTTTTGTTTTTTTTTAACAATACTTAGCAAACATAGGTCGCAATAAGTAAGTAAGTAACTAACTAACTAACTAACTAACTAACTAACTAACTAACTAACTAACTAACTAACTAACTAACTAACTAACTAACTAACTAACTAACTAACTAACTAACTAACTAACTAACTAACTAACTAACTAACTAACTAACTACTAACTAACTAACTAACTAACTAACTAACTAACTAACTAACTAACTAACTAACTAACTAACTAACTAACTAACTAACTAACTAACTAACTAACTAACTAACTAACTAACTAACTAACTAACTAACTAACTAACTAACTAACTAACTAACTAACTAACTAACTAACTAACTAACTAACTAACTAACTAACTAACTAACTAACTAACTACTAACTAACTAACTAACTAACTAACTAACTAACTAACTAACTAACTAACTAACTAACTAACTAACTAACTAACTAACTAACTACTAACTAACTAACTAACTAACTAACTAACTAACTAACTAACTAACTAACTAACTAACTAACTAACTAACTAACTAACTAACTAACTAACTAACTAACTAACTAACTAACTAACTAACTAACTAACTAACTAACTACCTAACTAACTAACTAAATAACTAACTAACTAACTAACTAACTAACCAACTACTACCAAATCTATCTATCTATCTATCTATCTATCTATCTATCTATCTATCTATCTATCTATCTACTATCTATCTATCTATCTATCTATCTATCTATCTATCTATCTATCTATCTATCTATCTATCTATCTATCTATCTATCTATCTATCTATCTATCTATCTATCTATCTATCTATCTATCTATCTATCTATCTATCTATCTATCTATCTATCTATCTATCTATCTATCTATCTATCTATCTACTATCTATCTATCTATCTATCTATCTATCTATCTATCTATCTATCTATCTATCTATCTATCTATCTATCTATCTATCTATCTATCTATCTATCTATCTATCTATCTATCTATCTATCTATCTATCTATCTATCTATCTATCTATCTATCTATCTATCTATCTATCTATCTATCTATCTATCTATCTATCTAATCTATCTATCTATCTATCTATCTATCTATCTATCTATCTATCTATCTATCTATCTATCTATCTATCTATCTATCTATCTATCTATCTATCTATCTATCTATCTATCTATCTATCTATCTATCTATCTATCTATCTATCTATCTATCTATCTATCTATCTATCTATCTATCTATCTATCTATCTATCTATCTATCTATCTATCTATCTATCTATCTATCTATCTATCTATCTATCTATCTATCTATCTATCTATCTATCTATCTATCTATCTATCTATCTATCTATCTATCTATCTATCTATCTATCTATCTATCTATCTATCTATCTATCTATCTATCTATCTAATTAACTAGGTCAACTTAGTAGCTTATGAATTGTAGCCATAAAACTCAGTTTTCTAAGTGAGTAACTTTTAAATATTTTTAAATTGAGTCACGCACAAAAATATTCTAAAAATTAATTTGAATTATTAAAATTTTTGAGTCAAGCTAAAAATATTCTAATTGTAATTACTGAGAATCGACGATTTTTCCCAGTTACTGTGTTATCATGGGGCGTATTTAATTTTGCCAAAACGTTTATATTGGTCGTCGATCCATATAACTATAATTATTCTAGATTTAGATTTAAAGACTGAAAATAAACAGAAATTCCTATCATACATAAAGAAAATGAAGGTAAACAATTACATATTTACTTTTTTTAGTTTAGGCCTTATGGAAGTTTTAATTTGTAATTCGGTGCAAAATTTTTGTAATTGAGCTCCCCAAATGTTCGTAAAACTATAACAAATATAATAAAAACCTTCCATAAATCATACAATTTACAAGCTGTAATCACTGCAGTACTTCTAGTAAGTAAAATATGAGGTAAACAAGATTTTGCCATTATTTAATACCTATTTATTATAGAGATAAATAATTTGTAAAATATTTTCATTTTCATATATTCCAGGTGAATCTTACGACAACAACAACATTGCTAATACTTTAAAGTTTCCCATAGTATCTGAAAAAAAGCAAATGCTTAGTAAATTGTATACGTAAAGAAAATTAATCAATATCATAAATCTATCTTTGATATCAGAAGTCGCACGCGTGATAACAAAACAATGATAAGAAAAAAGCGTTTGTCTTAAAAATAGTTCATCATAAAACTAAATGGCATAATTTCTTTAGTTCTTTTATTGTATTTTGATAAACATAATTATTTTAAAACTACTATACTTCTTTATTTATGGTTTATTTACTACTTATATTCTATTAATCAAATGTCGCATTTATTTTGCATTAATTAATTGTTTATTAAAAAAAAGTAAATATTTACTTATATGAGTGGTGCATAATTCCAATTATATTGGTTTAAGAATTATAAGCACTCAATGGATAATTAATTTTTCTAAATTCTTATTAAATAATTGCAAATATAAGAAAAATGGGGCTAAAATATTAAATCTAATATCAATTGATTGTCTTCGCTTAGCCAAATTATTCTGAAGTATACCTTCTGTCAGATTAAAAAATTGGACTCTTAACAGAATTCATTAGAATCTACTTTAAATTTTTATTAATTTTAAAGAGTTTATTAACATTTCAATTTATAATAACTAGATTTTTCAAATGTTTACAGACTTATTTATTAATAAAATTTGTTTATTAGACTGCATCTGGCAAATATCATAACGCCAAAAATAAATAACTACTTAAATATACATATAATTAAATTACACCCACAAAAATTGGGATGTAATCGGCTAATAAAAACATTGCTTCGTTATAATTTTACATTATTGATGTGAGTATACTGATACACTAGAACTGAACTAGAACTGAACTAGAACTGAACTAGAACTAGAACTGAACTAGAACTGAACTAGAACTGAACTAGAACTGAACTAGAACTGAACTAGAACTGAACTAGAACTGAACTAGAACTGAACTAGAACTGAACTAGAACTGAACTAGAACTGAACTAGAACTGAACTAGAACTGAACTAGAACTGAACTAGAACTGAACTAGAACTGAACTAGAACTGAACTAGAACTGAACTAGAACTGAACTAGAACTGAACTAGAACTGAACTAGAACTGAACTAGAACTGAACTAGAACTGAACTAGAACTGAACTAGAACTGAACTAGAACTGAACTAGAACTGAACTAGAACTGAACTAGAACTGAACTAGAACTGAACTAGAACTGAACTAGAACTGAACTAGAACTGAACTAGAACTGAACTAGAACTGAACTAGAACTGAACTAGAACTGAACTAGAACTGAACTAGAACTGAACTAGAACTGAACTAGAACTGAACTAGAACTGAACTAGAACTGAACTAGAACTGAACTAGAACTGAACTAGAACTGAACTAGAACTGAACTAGAACTGAACTAGAACTGAACTAGAACTGAACTAGAACTGAACTAGAACTGAACTAGAACTGAACTAGAACTGAACTAGAACTGAACTAGAACTGAACTAGAACTGAACTAGAACTGAACTAGAACTGAACTAGAACTGAACTAGAACTGAACTAGAACTGAACTAGAACTGAACTAGAACTGAACTAGAACTGAACTAGAACTGAACTAGAACTGAACTAGAACTGAACTAGAACTGACTAGAACTGAACTAGAACTGAACTAGAACTGAAACTAGAACTGAACTAGAACTGAACTAGAACTGAAACTAGAACTGAACTAGAACTGAACTAGAACTGAACTAGAACTGAACTAGAACTGAACTAGAACTGAACTAGAACTGAACTAGAACTGAACTAGAACTGAACTAGAACTGAACTAGAACTGAACTAGAACTGAACTAGAACTGAACTAGAACTGAACTAGAACTGAACTAGACTGAACTAGAACTAGAACTGAACTAGAACTGAACTAGAACTGAACTAGAACTGAACTAGAACTGAACTAGAACTGAACTAGAACTGAACTAGAACTGAACTAGAACTGAACTAGAACTGAACTAGAACTGAACTAGAACTAACTAGAACTAAACTAGAACTGAACTAGAACTGAACTAGAACTGAACTAGAACTGAACTAGAACTGAACTAGAACTGAACTAGAACTGAACAAGAACTGAACTAGAACTGAACTAGAACTGAACTAGAACTGAACTAGAACTGAACTAGAACTGAACTAGAACTGAACTAGAACTGAACTAGAACTGAACTAGAACTGAACTAGAACTGAACTAGAA